CCCCCCCCCTCCTGTAGCAACCTTTTTGAAAATTCAAACCTGGGCTGAAACACGACATATCGCAAAAGTTTCGATCACAGGACCGCATGAGATCTGTCATGCATTCATGGCTTGCAACGCTCCGGGAGTTTTGTTGTCTGGCTTCCTGGCCTTGCTTTCTCCCTTCCACCACTTGCCTGTCAACACCTCTCGGTCTCTCGCGCTGTTTTGGCAAGAAATCAACAAGTGGTAATTCTGATGCCGGGCCCAATCCATGCAATGGTAGATGTATGGCACAGGTCTTGTGTATGGAAACCACAAGGGCAGGGTCATTCAAGCAGGGACTAAGCATTGTTATCCCAATGGTAGAACTTAAGATACATGTCCTGTACGGTGTTTAGTTTACTAGCTGTCCGTCGGGCCGCAATACAAGTTGGCAGAGTAAGAATCGACATCGTGATCGTGAGTAAAAAATTGGGAGCGTGGGTAGAAAGTCACGTTCAGAGGTGATCGAATGATGCGGGAAACGCTTGCGGATTCAGGTAAAACCCAGCTCCTTAACAGTCGCGGGAATAGCGTCAGAAACGATGGTCTGGAAAAAAGATCGATGAAGGCGCATGAAATACCCGAGGAAACGTAGTGCCGTACAAAGCTGAAAACTCAACGCTTTGCATGAAGTTTTCATTACATGAATTTAGGTGCTGTGATTTTCGTGTGCCACTTACATCACGTTCTGACTGTTTTCAAAGTCATAAAGCAACCCCATCATCTTCATGTAGGATAAAGGCACCGATTCCTTGCTACCGAACCTTCCCTTCGAGCGATTGACGGGTGCGGGTCTGTCATTCCAGGCAGCAGCTTTCCGATCATCATAATTTCCGCGGATGTGGTTGACAGACACACCTTGCTTGGACCGATAATCACCTATCATTAGTTCACCCTAGTTCAAACGCAGCGTCAAAAGTACCCGCACAAAATTCCATCTCACATTCTCCCACGTCCTAGGTACGCCATGCCATCTGATACGGCTTGGCAGCCCTGCGGCTGGGATAATTCTGTATCTCTCCATTCATCCACTCTGGACCTTGGGCTCTAATTGATAGATGATATACACGCCCAGTGATTTTGGAACCTACCCCAATCTCACACGGTGCGCTGCATAAGGCCTTTGAACAAGGTTTTAACTTCTCTGAACATACGACGATAGATTTACAGTGCTCACGCCGATCCGTTATTTGTGGTCACATGAGGGGACGCATCGCAACGCTTCATCACAATTAACGCGCCACAGTGGCGACTTGCATTGGGGACGAGATCGTTGTTCTGGTCAGGCGACGCGGATAGGAGCTCTCTATGATCGAGCTTATTCTGCCCTCCGTTTTTGTGCGACCTGTCACGGATATCTATGATGCTAGGCTTTATTGGTCCCACTTTCAAATCCTCTTGACGTACGTTTTCACGAGCTCGCAGGCCTTTCGCTCTATACTAACCTGGTTCTAATAGAGTTAGCCCAACATGTTGGTAATGGCAGCTGCGCCCGAAGTCGTATGAACATCAAACATTAAACTTGTTTGCGCTGGGGAGAAAGGGACTCCATAGTCGCCGCGGAGCCCGACATCGTGCTCGGAAGCGTATTTTGAGCGCAATCAGAGGCTATAAAACCTGGAAGGGTCGGTCGCGAATACCTCATCAACCTGGTTCGCACCATCCCCCAAGACGATGCCTCTCGTGACCCTCGACCAAGCTCTCTCGCAACCCTTTGACTACATCGTCATTGGTGAGTTACTATGTGCAAGTTACAAACTTCCCTCGATCTGATAGTTGCTCACTTGACCAGGCGGAGGGGTCAGTCTCCAACATCCCACACAGACGATTCGAACAAACGTGTTCTGACCTTGGCTTACCTTACGTAGACAGCGGGATTAGTGGTAGCCTCTCGACTCTCCGAGGACCCTGAAGTATCTGTGCTCGTGCTCGACGCCGGAAACCCGAACCTGAATGACCCTCTCATCAGTGCGTCACTTTGTTCACTTCCTCGTCTTATCGACACGATCTCACCTCCGATGATTCTCCTTCACAGCCCGGGGAAATCAGTGGGGCTCACAGTTCGGTAATCCACGCTATGACTGGGCGTTCAAGACGGTTAGTCTGTGTTCATCACTCACGCTCCTTATGGAGCCTTATCGCCGCCACTCTGGTGGGACTTCGAATGATAGATGTGAGCTAACGTGATAGGCTTAAAATATAGGCGCCCCAGAAACATATGAACGGAAAGGAGTTCATGTGGTCCCGGTAAGCGATTGTCTACCTCCTAAGAACATTCAATCATCCTGATGAGTCCCAAACCGACAGCGGGAAAAGCTTAGGAGGTAGCTCCGCAATGAACTTTCAACTTTGGTCTCTTCCTCCCAAAGGAGACATCGACGGTCCGTTCTTCTAGCCCATCCACTCGAAAGACTTGACACTCAACTCTTACCTCCAAGACTGGGAAAAGCTTGGAAATAAAGGATGGAATTGGACAACTTACGAGAAGTATCTTAGCAAGGCTGCTACGTAAGTCTCGTTCTCCACTCGGGGTACTCCAGCTACCATTTGTTCTATACGTCTTTTTCTAGCTATGTACCAATTGACGCCACGACTCGTACCGACGCAAAGTCCCTGAAGGCCACTTGGGATCTTGAAAAACGCTCCAACGGTGCAGGTATGATATTTTTCGTCGTGAATGATGTTTTGTAGGGAGGCTTACGCGCGTGCAAGGCCCCCTGTTCGTCACTCACCCAAAATTAAAATTCGAGATCGACTATACGGCGCATGATGTGAGGATGCACAGCGCCACGCTACTCTGATGGCCCTAATCCTGAATCCCGAACTCACATAGACTTTACTCGGGATGGGAATCCCCGAAGCTCGGGCTCCTGTAAGTGTGGTCTTCCGGCGTTTCAGTTTCATGAGAGGTTGAGAAACTTAATCCCGATTACTTGTACACAGTACCACGGAGAGGTATGTCCCCATTTACGCGTCTGTGAAAAGAATCAGCCCTCATCATTATGATCTAGTCAACAGGTGTTCATATAGGTCTAAGCACAATCGAACCAAGAACGCATACGAGAAGCTACGCAGCCACGGTTGGTCCTCACGATGTTTTGTCGCATTAGATCACTTATCTTGCCTTGAAAGTCATACTTTGTGCCGGCATCGACGCGGACCAATTTATTCGTTCTCACGACAGCTTATGCTCACAGACTCGTGACGACAGGACAAGGAGACGGGAATATCGTCGCAACCGGAGTTGATTTCAACTACGGGGATGATAAAAAGGTTCTCGTAGCGCATGCGAAACGGGAGGTCATCATCTCTGCAGGGTATGATTAGACGGAATACCACACCGCCTCGTTCAACAATTAAAACCTCGTTTTCAGCGCGTTGAAGTCTCCCCAGATCTTGGAACTGTCCGGTATTGGACGTGAAGATGTCTTGTCCAGGATTGGGGTGCCGGTCAAGATCTCTCTCGACGGTGTGGGGGAGAACGTTCAGGAACACACCTTCATAGGCACCGTTTATGGTTCGTTTCCTCCCTTGCCCTCACTCGGTAGTACTTTACGACACCTATGCAGAGCTCAAGGAAGATACCACAACCGAGACTTTGGACATGCTCAGGGACGAGAAGATAGCTGCGCAGCATATTGAGCTTTTGTGAGAGTCTGAATCCACTTGCTTCTGGTGTGTCCTGGACTGACGAATCGATTACTTAGGGCAAAGGGAGAAGGTGCTTTTACTTCGGGGTTTACCAACGTAGCATGGGTGCCGCTTGCCGATGTTACATCTCGCTCGCAAGCGCTCTATGAGCAAGAGAAGAAACAGATTGAAGAAGACGTAAAGACCAACAGCGCGTATCCGCCAGGTTTACTCGAACAATACGACATACAGCTAGAAAGAATCCCGAATGGTGGTCTTGACTGTGAAATTGCCGTTACAGCCACATTCCTCGGAGTGGGTCGTAAGTGAAAGTTTCTTGTCGAAAATACTGAGAGGTCTCACGAGAGACCTTCTTAGTGCCACCCATCGAGGGGAAGAAGTATGTCTCGATTGCGGTATTCTCAAACCACGCCTTTTCGAGAGGAACGATTCATTCGTCATCTAACGACCCGTCGGTTGATCCAGAGATGG